TGCTGAAACGCTGTGAAAAACATGCTTCGATGACATCATCTTAAGAAGAATGGTATTGAAGAACGATTGCGTAAAATTTTCTTGGCTCGTAAGGAAGCTGGAAATCTGAAAAAAAAAAAGTTCGTTGTGGTGCTACCAGTTCAAAATATTTTCAGAAAAAATGTAACTTGGACGATGAGACAAAAATTAAGAAAATATTTACCTGAATGCGTTGCCAAATAAAAAATAGATTTTGCCTTCAAGCGCGAACTGAAATATGGTGCCCTGCTTCGGGATGACTGAAACAAAGTGATGAGAATTGAAGCGAACAAAAAAACCGTGCATAAAGTTGTGCACGTACAATGAAAACTGGTATTATAGGAAAGGTTAGAGTGACCAGAAGAAGGGAAAATTATTCGCAAACAATAAAAAACTAACTGAGCACACGATCCTGTTTAGTGATCAGCATGAAGGTCTGTCGAGTCTCGCGAACCACAATGCCACAGATACCGATCTGCAGGGGAGTACAATAATAACGCGTAATGTGATAATGAGAATTACCAGAAATTTCGCAAACGCCTCTTAAAAAGAAAATGGAAGAGCAACTTAGACAATTGTCATTGAGTACAACTTGGACAATTCTCGAAAAAAAAACAATTCTCTTGTGGAAAAAGCACTAAAATACTATGAAACACAAAAATATAACCTTAGAAAATCAGTATCATGTAACACGAATGTACCACAATACAACACAAACACATGAAAAAGAATATGTTAACAAAAAACAGATCGTTTTAGAAACATGAAAATCACAAATGTCAAATACAACTGTATGATAAGGGAGGTAATACTTACTTGATCAGGATTATCAGCTTCGATAACTAGCAATAAGCAACCGTGGTAATCTGCCCTCAGCACACGAGCATCACAGCGCGCACTGCACGTCCCAACCAACGTGCTGTAGTAATCGCACCACAACTCATACAGCTTTTCAAACTGCGAATATCTGCAACTCTCAAAGCTTCTGAATTACCAAAATGCAAATTTTGCGCTTATTTTCTAGCAGGAGACGATCATGTATTTCGCTGCTACTAGCTACTACAACAGACTGGGCGGTAATTATTCATAGATTGCTACAATGTCTGCGAAATAGATCTACTTTTCATGGTAGTGGCTTTCACCGTGTTTAAGTCATATCCAGTCGTCTTTGTGCTTTTTTGCACATTTATGCAAATGCAAAAACGCATATTGGCAAAAGGTTGTCTATGTTTGTATGGGTGTGCGCGTGTGTGTGTGCGTCCCTCCACATTTTACCACCCATTTTCAATTCGGCAACCTGAGAAGCTAGAAAGCTGAAATTTTTGGAGCACATTCCCATTCCAAATGCGGCAATCCCTTTTTAAAATCGTTTATGCACGCTTGGTCCTATTTGCGTCCCAAACATTTCGAATTCAGCAGAAAGCGCGCCCATTTCCTGTGTGTGCGCAGCGCAAATGAATATTTAGTTTGGGATATTGCTGGCACCCCATTAACGCGGCAATTAGGCTAAGCAGGAAGCAGTATTTTTCTGAGGATGTTTGCTGCTCATATGAGGGTCAGCAAACATTAAACGGCATTTCACCTAAAAAAGCAGCATTACCTAGGAATGTGAGAAACATATCAAATATTCAGAATGCAGTGCTGCTGCCATTATACTCTCCTGGCATTCAGTTAGGCAAGAAAGCTGAAATTCCGAAAATACAGCCTGATCTTCTGGAACGCGAAATACAGTTTTAACGCAGGCTAACATCTCGTACAGGGATACGACAAATTCCAGGCTGCGAAAACACACGGCTGCGCAGGAAACCTCCAGTACATGTTTCCAGTTATCTGTATGCGGTGACCCTTGGCGTGACGGGCAGCTCAATCGAAGTTCCGAGATGAGAGAGCTTACTTCAAATCCTTCAAATCTTTCCGGCTAATTTTTCGCCTGACAATATTTTGCACCGCTTGTCGGCGCACTTTGCGGGCTTTCTTGACTCGCTTTTCCAAAACGAAAGTTCTCTGCGGATTCAGAGCCTCGAACGATGTAGAAGCCATCTCCTGAAATAGCGTCTATTCAGCTCTCGCGGTAGCTGAGCGTGTGCATTTCTGCGTCTTATTTGCTTATATAGAGAATTTATTCAATATTTTTAGATGAATATTTGTTGTTGTGCATTAGATTGCATTTAGGTGAAGGCAAATGCAGACAGACTTTTTGACAGTTTCAGACATGCGACCACGGCCAGCCAGAAAGATTTCGGGGATGCGAGATGTTTGACCACGAAGAGCCAAGTGCAGGATATCAGGCCATCTATCTTCACTCTACCACCAACATGGGCAATACCGCCCAAAGTGAGTTCTAGAACGCAAAATTTGACCTAAATGAGATGAGGAAGAGCTCAGAAATTCCCTCCTACTCCCTCCCTGCAAAATAAAAAGTGCATTTGCAGTGATGCGCGAAAATTTCGCGGAAACATGGGATGTTGCGTGCCATAAGTAGGTAAAACACAGCGCTGAACTGTTTTTGAGTGAAATTTTATTTTAGGTTACAATGAAAAAAGAGCAGAATTAAAAGACAAAAAAAAAAAA